TCTGTCTGTCTGTCTGTCTGTCTGTCTGTCTGTCTGTCTGTCTGTCTCTCTGTCTGTCTGCACACCTGTCTGTTTCTCTTGTGTAATTCAGTGTGTGTGTGTGTGTGTGTGTGTTTTGTTTCAGGTTCCCAGAAGCCTTTGAGACGTTCGGTAGTTTCAGGAAGTTTTTCCCGACGGTTTCTTCGTTCTGCTTCTGTTCAGACAGCAGAGGCAGAGAGCAGGACAACACAGGTACACACACACACACACACACACAAGCACACACACACACTGATGATGATGATGATGATGGTGATGATGATGATGGTGATGATGATGAAGGTGTGAACTTCCTGTCCAGGTGTGGAGCTCCTCCTGTCTGAGGTGTACGACTCTGCGTTCTCTGGTCTCCGGTCCGGTCGCTCCTTCTCTCAGACCAACATCTACAGAGTCCTGCAGAGGAGGATGCTGGGAGTTCGCCTCGCCCTCACCGGACACTTCAGATGTAAACTACAATCCTTTAAACCGGTTTAAACTTGTCATGACCACATAGATATTCTGAATTAATTTGAGCAAATTGAAACCAGTTACATACAATAATCAGGTTCCTACAAAGTACCTCGTCATACTGGTTTATGGTAGATGTGAACTGGATCAAACTGGTTTAAAGTTCCCTTTTGATTATTTTAAATGTCCAACTTAAAGAAACTTCAGAGAAACATCTGGACTCGTTAACGTTGGTTTATGTTTAGTTTATTTAGTTGTTTTGAAGCAGATGGAAATAGTTTCAGACTGAATGTAACTGGTTTAAGGTACTGGTGTTATTTAGTTGTGTTATCTGGGTTAGTTAAACTAGCTCAGACCAGTTCAAACTTGTCATGACCACCCTCAACTGTTTGCTTTTTTTTACACTGGTTTGAACTAGTTTCAGCAGATGTGAACTGGTTCAAACCGGTTTAAACTCCCTTAAAGTATTAAACTGACCATTTCAGGGACAATAAACAGGTTGAAACAGGACGTAACAATCTGCCCAGCTTTGACCCAGTTAAACAGTAAAGAAAAAACAGTATAGACCAGTAAACGACAGTGATGAGGTAATAATAAAGTAACATTCTGTACTTTAAACACTGGTTTAAAGTCGTTTTTTGCAGATGTAAACTGTCCTTCAGAGGTAACATCTGCACCAGTAAACACTGGTTTAAACTGGTTCCTCTCTCTCAGGTCCCTCCTCCTGTGAGGAGGAGCGGCGGGCGGCGGTGGAGACGTCCAGTGTTCACGTCCCGTCCTGTGAGACTGGAGGAGCCTTCAGCTCCAGACAGTGTCAGCAGGGGGGGCAGTGCTGGTGCGTGGACCCCACGGGGAGAGAGCTTCCTGGGACTCGACAGTTGGGAGACTCCCTGGTCTGCAGTGAGTATCGTGGATCAGTCTGTGGACGGGGAACGTAGTTTGTTAAGAGTCGTAGTGCAACGACATAATTCATCTCTAATATCTATTTTATATTAACGTGAAAACATCTCCTTCAAACTACTGGATTTATTCAAGTTTATCACCAAAACTACATTTTACAGATGACATGTGAACACATCATGATAACGTTATAATGTACCTTCAGCCAGTACTCATGTTCACTGAGCAGAGCCTGAAGGCATCATAATGTAACTGAAGTGAACCTCTGTTGGTTAGCCGTTAGCGGTGCTGCTAACGTTACTAGCTCTCCTCTGATTGGTTGTTTACAATGAAACATGATCAGAGATCAGAGACTAGAAACACATGTTCTACTGAGTCAGTAACACTTTATTTACACTCTGATGGTTAACATTAAACTTTATTTACACTGTGATGGTTAACGGTAAACTTTATTTACACTCTGATGGTTAATGGTAAACTTTATTTACACTCTGATGGTTAACATTAAACTTTATTTACACTGTGATGGTTAACGGTAAACTTTATTTACACTGTGATGGTTAACGGTAAACTTTATTTACACTCTGATGGTTAACGGTAAACTTTATTTACACTGTGATGGTTAACGGTAAACTTTATTTACACTGTGATGGTTAACGGTAAACTTTATTTACACTGTAATGGTTAACGGTAAACTTTATTTACACTGTGATGGTTAACGGTAAACTTTATTTACACTGTGATGGTTAACGGTAAACAATATTTACACTGTGATGGTTAACGGTAAACTTTATTTATATTCTGATGGTTAACGTTAAACTTTATTTACACTGTGATGGTTAACGGTAAACTTTATTTACACTGTGATGGTTAACGGTAAACAATATTTACACTGTGACGGTTAACGTTAAAACTTAATTTACACTGTGACGGTTAACGTTAAAACTTTATTTACACTGTGATGGTTAACAATAAAACTTTATTTACACTCTGATGGTTAACATTAAACTTTATTTACACTGTGATGGTTAACGTTAAAACTTTATTTACACTGTGATGGTTAACGTTAAAACTTTATTTACACTCTGATGGTTAACGTTAAAACTTTATTTACACTCTGATGGTTAACGTTAAAACTTTATTTACACTGTGGCGGTTAACGTTAAAACTTTATTTACACTGTGATGCTTAACAGTAAACTGTGTCATTAATCCATGAGGGGGATCAGTACAGATCCACAACGGCCCGTTACACCACTAATTAAGAGTTAGGAAGCTAACAGAAGCTAAAAAAAGCTACTAATACTGTTTTATTCATCCTCATATCTCTTCCTCCTCCTCCAGGTTCAGGTTTTGCTGACTGTCTCTCTCAGCGCCGTCTGGCTCTCTCGCGGCTCTTCTCCGGTCCCGTTGACCCTCCTTTCCAGGCCTCCTCCATCAGATCTCCGGCCTCCTGTCCTTCCCTCCTCCGGCCTCTCAGGAAGTTCTTGCCGGTGGAGGCGGACCCGACATCCTTCCTGTCTCACCTGGTCGAAGTCCTCTACGGCCTCTTCCCCTCGGTGGGCGGGGCTCTGCAGGCTCTGGCTCGCTCCTCCCCCCGTCGCCTCCAGGAGAACCTGTTCGGAGGGAAGTTCCTGAAGAACGCCGCCTCCTTTAACTTCAGCGGAGCGGTGGGAGCTCGAGGAGCCCGCGGTCCGGACCGGCTCGCCTCTCAGAGTGCCTCCATCAACCTCCAGAAGAACCGGGACCTGGTCCAGTCTATCAGCAGAGCTCTGGAGGACCCGGCCTTCCTCTCTGCCCTCCAACACACACTGAAGAGCAGCAGCAGTTCACACTCGTCCTCACTGCAACAGGTCAGACACGACACATCAAGATAGATAAAAGTATTGATTGATCAGTAATCTTATGTTCCTGGATTCATATTCGCTGCATTGTATCTCCTTCATATTCTGTTGGCTGGTTTAATCTACATCACTGCACCATGTTCCATAAGATCATCATAACGTCACTAAATTCTTCCAGGTTCTGACTCCTCTTCTGTGTTCCTGCTCCGAGGACGAGGACACGGCGGCCATCTTTGTCCCCAGCTGCACGTCCAGCGGTGGTTTCCAGGAGGTTCAGTGTCGGGACAGAGAGTGCTGGTGTGTGGACCCTCTGGGTCGGGAGGTCGCTGGGTCGCGTACCGCCGCCGGTGGTCGACCTCGATGTCCGTCCCGCTGCGAGAGAGAGCGAGCGACGGCGCTGAAGGTCAAAGGAAACATGGCGGCCGGCGCCGAGATCCTCATCCCGGCGTGTTCGGAGGACGGAGACTTCCTGCCGCTGCAGTGTGTCGGATCACGATGCTTCTGCGTGGATGCTGAGGGGAAAACGATGACGACCGCAGGGTCAACGGGCGACGCTGTCACCTGTAAGATCACACTGAGGGAGGAGCTTATCTAGTTACAGTCTGACAGAGTTTAGGAAACAGAAGAGATGCAGGGAACAGATTCTATGATTGATTCAAGAACAGTTCAGCTTCAGGGTTTGCACAATTTCAACATAAAATACACATAAAAATAGCAACATTAGGTTTTTACGGCGTGTTTTGTTTAAGATTCTGATCATTTGATGGAGTTGTAACCGTGTTCCTTTTCCTTTTTATTGACAATCGCAAGAAACAAATAGTTATCTTGTGATTTTTGAGACCCCCCGAAATTGTGCAATTGTGGATTTCAGGGGGTCTGAAGTGTCAATCAAGAGGTCTCAGAGTATTTTCCCACTAATTCTGCCTCAGATTACCAGTTTACGTTCAGTCTCCTTCGAGGCTCACACAAGTCTCACGGGTTCATCCTCTGAGGAGCCAGAATGAGACCTTAAAAACTACTCTGTTGTGTTTCAGGTCCAAAGAGAACGACACAGAAGCTTCGGTCCTCTGCAGGTCAGATACAAACTAAATAATCCAACACACACATATCTGATTTAGATGAAAGAGAAAACACACTTTCAGATTTTCTGACTTTTGTTGCCTCCAAAGAAGTTTCTGCAGAATCGTCAATCTTTTGGCAATATGAAAAATAGCATCTTTGTTAGCATCGTTAGAGCTGAATGCTAACCTGTTAGCGACACTAACCAGAGTCCGATGCTAACAGGTCGCTGCTCTCAGGCGTTTGATGAGGTTACGGCGTTCAGACAGGAAGTGAAGAGCGTCGTCCGTCTCTCTAACTCCTCCCACCTCCCGCTGGGATACGGATTCCTATTGGCCGAAGGTCTGCGTCTGACCCCGGAGGAGCTGCTGATCGGCCAATCGGAGGAGGAGCTGCGGATCTCTGACGGGCTGCTGGGCCGCTCCAGAGCTGCTCTGCGATTGGCTGCTTTCTCCAGTGAGTCACAGTTTCTTTTTTTAAAGGAACAGTAACAGATTTAGTGACATCTAGTTGTGAGACTAATACTCTGTTTTTCTACATGGCTAAATAATTGTTTTTAAAAACAAATTAATTCAGAACTGAATTAGAAGTTATTTATAATTTAGATATTGTTTCTAACAAAGTCACATAATATATAAAGTCATTAATATCTCACTGGAAACAAATGTGTGAAAACAAAGTGACAATAAATTACAATAGAACAGAGGTAGCCAACACGGTGCCCGCGGGCACCCTGTCGCCCTCAGGGACCACATGAGTCGCTGGGAGACATGTTCTAAAAATAGCACTAGTCACCATGGAGCTCCTTCTAAAATTGTAGTTGCTGTTCTTTTTTAATCAAAAACGCTTGCATTGGTGTAGATTTTAAAATGACAATATTTCTTGTCATAAGAGAGTTGGGTACCCGGAGGCGGACAGCCAGGACAAGGCCGCCGCACTACGTTTTCAGGTTCCGAATGGCGGGCGCTTCCCGTTGGCGCCAGACGCGCGCAGCGAGCGCACCCCGTTGTCAGGTCTGTAAATCCTCGGAACAGGCCGCGACTAGAGGTTTGAACGCGGGCGCCCGAAGACGCTCGCGCGCCTCGGAGGGTTGGATCCCCGCTCGGCTATAGACGAGACTGGTTACTAGTTTCTTCGTGGAGACAAAGGTACCGTTAGAAAAGCTGGTGTCGGTGACAACAGACGAGGCTCCCGCGATGACGGGCCGGCATGCAGGCTTCATTGCGCAATGTAAAGGTGACCCAGACTTCCCCAAATGTCACATTACCACTGCATCATTCACCAGCAGGCGCTATGTGCAAAAGTAACCGGCTTTGATCACGTGATGATACAAAAATATCAGAGATGTGATACCTCTGACTTTCAAATGTTGAAACAGATTAACAGAAATAAAAGCATGTTTAAATATGAATGTGTAGCTGTAATATCATTGTTGTGGAAATCATTATTAATAATTATTGTGAGGAATAATTAACTGACATGTGATCAAACAGTCTCTTCACATACATTATTATTATTAAAAGGTGATCTGTGCAACTTTGTTATTCAGGAAGTTTGTATCAAATAAGTAGCCCTCCGTACTACTCAGTACCCTTCAAGTAGCTCTCAGTTTAAAAAAGGTTGGTGACCCCTGCATTAGAACATTAAAAAGTACTAAAGTATTACAAACAACAGTAACGTCGGGGCTTATCAATAATACGATCTTTAATTATTCAGCACCGGGGCCCCTTTAATACCGGGTTCCTGAATGCATCACGACCTTCAGATATAATGTAAAACGTTAAAGTCTCTCTAGAGCCGGTGTTCAGTTTGTCCCTTCTGGGCTGCCGTAGAACATGGCGGTCCAAGATGGAGAAACCGTCCCCTACATAAATATAAATGTCTTCTTCTAAGTTAACAAAAACACTACGATTCTTAGTTTCAGGTGATTATACACTGATGAAAACATAGTTATGAATATTATATTTATTATCCGCCTGTAAATGTTAAACACTGTCCCTTTAAATCATGTTTAGTTTTAGTTCATCAAGTACAGATTGTTACTTTGTATTCCTGCTGATCATTTTCATCTTCAGATCGACTCCTTTTACACAGTTATTAGTTTAAGATAGACTCTTCTATTATTGGATTATTACAGAATATAATCTCTGTTATGATATTTACATATTGCTGAGGGTCCCTGAAAGTCTCACCAGTGTTGTTGTTGTTGTTGTTGTTTCTCAGCTGTCCAGATGTTCCTGCCTCCTCAGCATCATTCATACCAGCCTTTCACTCCACAGTGTGATGCTGACGGAGACTGGAGACACACACAGTGTTACCACAACACAGGTATCACACACACACACA